TTTTAAAATCAATTTTGTATGTTTTAGAACACGTGAATGTGTATTAAGTGTATCATATATTGAAGTAATTGGTTCTAAATTACAAAAAACTAAATTTTGAAAATAATTAATGGGGTGTCAAAATACTCCACTAGATTTTCAAATCTATATTATTCACTTCTGCCTCCTGGGTTAATCTATTCTACAAGTGTGATATTACAGTTTGGTAGTTGCAATATTTTTAGAAATCTTAAATAAACTCATAATATAAAGTTAACATTACTGGATTACAATTTTTGTTGAATAATAATTAATAATTTGTGAAATGAAATATTCAAGTAATGGGGATGGTGAAGCTTTTTCTTAATGTAGGGCGGATGAAGTGTAGTATACAGTATAATTTAAGAGAGATGTTTAAACCGACACTTCATGCCGCTCTGGTGGCAACTGTGCAGTTTATATTGTGGAGGCTTTCTTGAAAAGTGAATTGGTAATTATGCGGTGGATAGACTAAAAGATATTTATAGTGAATGCAAGAGCCGAAGGCTCAAGCCTCACCATGACGTAGATCTGGGCGAGTGAAACAAGAAAACTTGCCTTGAAAGTAAATTGGCATTACAATGCACCAGGGACAAACCGTATGAAAGGTGAGACATGAAAATCGCCTATCCGTAAGTTTTATTCATTTCTGTCGTAGCGCGTAGTGTTATTTGAGGGAGGGCTTAAGGAGACTCCTCCTCCTCTGTCTCCCCCCTTGACCACCCTACTTCTCTAAGGGTGTATTGTGTACCTTACTTTAACCTGTAGGGCTCCTGTTTTCATAATCCAACATTCTGAATTCGCTAGTTGAACACTCAATTGTTTATTTCATTTATAGTTAAACAATAGCTGTGTGTAACAAAGCATTTTAATAATTAATTGTAAATAGTTAAAAGAGAAGAATTGGATAGTTTCTCTAGAAAAACAATGTGCACTAATAAATTTAGTCTCTAGCATGATTTTTCAATTTCATAAGTTGCCAATACCTAATAGGTTAGATTGATTTCGGCACCCGTACTTTTCTGTCTTTTTTTTTTCTGTGTTGAATATTAAGTCCACATTGTTTTCATTATTAAAGTGAATTATTTTCAAAACATTTGTCGTAGTGTGTGGTGTAAATATTAAGTGATTGTGGTTTTCTCTAATACCTCAAGAGAAAGTGCATAATATGATTTTTAAATTATAACTCCTTGGCTGAGAGCCATTACTTCTGGTTGCAATGAATTTTTGCAGTGTTTTTTTTAACAATTTCTCCTCAGAATGCCCAGCGAGATACGTTGCATTAAATATCATCTGATTCTTCAAAAAATTTACTGTGTATTGAAAAAAGGAAAAGGTACTTTCCCTGCATATCTTCATTAATAACTGTCGAAAACTCTATGCTCGCCAAAGTTTTTTCATAAGAGATTGTACTAATTTAAACTTTTTTATTAAAAACTAGGCATGGTAAGGGACAATTTTTTTTCTTACCATCAGAGATTTTATTTTTATTTAAAGTAGTTTTGTGGGATACTTCATTGTGGTCAGTCTAACGAACATACTACCTTAGGTAAAACTATCAGGTTTTTGGCATCTCCTTTTTTACTTTCTTGCATACTATTAGCGTAGAGAAAGTATCATAAAGCTGGAACAAACATTAATGACTCTTTGAAAAACTCATTTTGTGGGTCCCTGATTTGGGAATAGTGGAGAATTCTGATTTAAAAGTTAATATTGACGAACCTACTTAACCTGCACCTCTATTTGTTTTCAGGAAGGAATCAGAGTCTCAGCCAGTATATCAGTTAGCTGGCAAACATGGTCATCCTGAGAGTGAGTGTTAATACTTTCATTTAACATAATATTAACAATAAATTGTTTGCTGTAGTTTGCTGTAGTGTCAAATGTAGTTAAGTAAAATTATTTTTTTCTGAAAATGAGTATCTTGTTGGATAAAGTTTTTCCCCCTTCTTTCATTCTTTCTTTCCTCCTTTCTTTTCTTTCATTTGTTCGTTCATTTCATTCCATTCCGTTCGGTTCTTTTATTTATTACATTCCATTCATTGATTCATTCTGTTCATCGGGTTTGAGGTTCTTCAACTGGTGGTGCTCGGGCTGCATGCAGTCTGCAGAGCAATTTATTATGGCTCGCAATAGGTCAAAGTCAAAAATGAAAGTCCCTTTCATCCATGTCGGGCGAGAACATAGTGCATCTAGTGCATGCACCCTGGCAAGGTCAACCTCCATTAAAGTAAAAAATTGGTTAAATTTAGATGTATGGATTTCTTTCTTGTAAATTCATTAATTGAAAACCATGTGAATGCAAGCTGTGGTGTTTTGTGCATTGATTAAAATAGCTTCAGAGAATTTGTGAAAATCAGAACTGGCAGATTTATTTCATTCAAATCGGGAATTAGATTATTTATTGCAGAAAACTTGAGTGTTTGCAATGCGTGATTTATAAATGAAAGAGACTGTAATAAAGAAATATATTTTGGTGTTTCAGCTCCAAATTTGTTCAGTTAGCATGGGCTATCAAATAAATATTTTGAATGTGTATTTCTTTTAACAAAAAGGTAGTGAATGAAGAAATACAAGCAAATATGCCACAAAAATGCCACTATAACTTGAGAGCAAAAATGTAAAGTTTTTAAATGTTGCTAATCACGCTTTGTTGGAACTTTTATTCATTATTCAAGTACATATGGTTAAGAGGTAGTTATATTTTTAAAATATACAATGTTTGGTTACAAAATATGAATTTTGCAATGGCACTCGCATCGTTTTGCCACATAAGGAAAGATGTTATATGCAACTTAAAATTTAATTACTTACATCTGCATATTTTACTGTGAAGAGCACAGAACATCATAAAAAGAGGTTTGTGTGCTTGAATCACGAAGAAAATATATGTTTTCTAATCAGCAATTTTTTATTTTATTTTTTGAATAGTTTTGGACAAAACATTTTTATACCAAAAACCTGTAAATATACAGTATGTAAGCATTCAGTTATCTACGTCAGATTCACTATTTTGCCGTGAAGCAGAGATTTTATGTTTCTGACAGTTATGGTCATTGGCAAAACAAACTTGCAATTCCATGGATTTCCTAACTTAAATGATGAGCTTTTTGATCCCGCTTGTGCAGGTGCCAACCCCCTGGCTCTGCCGCCCACGATGAAGGCTCCAGTGAAGCTGCTGGACGACACACTCCAGCTGAGCGATGCCGCACTGGAGTTCCTAGTGGAGCAGCCGGACTTTGTGGTGGTGGGACTGCTTGGGGCGCAGGGCGTGGGCAAGTCCACTGTGGCCTCCCTGCTGGCCAGCGGTGGCGATCCGACCGCCAGCCTCAGGTGGGTGGTGAGCGTGGTCCTGCAATGTGATTATCCCTAGAAAGACCGAAGTGATATCTGGCATCCCAGACTAAACGGGGAGGTGGGTGGATCAAAAATTGTTTGAGAGTTGTATTTTAATCTGCCGCTCTAAATGTGATGGTAGAGAAAAAAGATTGTAAACATATTTGTTTTGGTTTGGTTTTAATTTATTGGTCTAGTTACTAAATTGATTCCATCAGTAGAGCAGTCATGTATTCAATGAGCTTTGACAACTTAGTTGCGACATCATAAAAAGTTGACCTTTGTGTTTGAATAATGGAGCCTTGCAACTCAGTAACTACTATTCCTTTAAAAATGCTAATTGACTGTAAAAGTGCTATGTGCATGGTTAGAATTAAAACTGAACATCTATAAAGATGTGAAAACCTGAGTTATGCGTACACTTTTGATAAACTATCCCGAATGTACATGTGTTCGCTTACAGCTAGCATCCTGTGTAAATCACAGATTTGTTGTTGCATACCATGTAAATCACAGAGATCTTGTTGCAATATATTTTGTCAGTGCAAAGTACAGTGGTTAAAAATTGAGTTGGAGTTCTTTTACTTTCATAGTTGGGATTGAGTTGCCTTTGTCTTATTGGAATCTTACACAAGTTTAGTACTTCTATTCGGTAATAATAAATTTAATCATTAAACCTTGTTTAAATTGGGTTCATAGAATGAATATCATTTAATAAATAATGAACATGAAACAGTTTCTTACCCTTTGCTGGAACAGAAGTACAGAGTTTGTAAAGCATTTCATAATTTCTGTGCCAGTTTGTCTTATTTAATTAACATTAATAATAATGCAGTAGTACAGTAATTTTCCCATCAAACAAATGAGATTATTGTTTCAAATTGTTGATCACTGATGTTTTGTGTTACACAGTGCATTGTCACATTCCAAACACAATAAGAAGTTGTTTGTAAATGTGTCAAGTTATTTATCTGCTGGATATACCCCCTTCTAAACTTCAGTGAACATTCTGTTTGGGTTGCCCTGTGAAGCCTGGGGAATGGCACTTACGAATTTGCAGCATTTGCAAGATGCCTCAGAATACATTTTTTGTTACTCCTCACTCACAAAAGTAATAATGGTAAGAAGATAATTATTAAATTACATTGTAAAACGTTCCTGTTTTTTTATTTAAATGTGTATTTAGTTCAGAATATTGGATCATTTACATATTGATGGTGAAATGGAGCTACTTACACAACCATCTGTTCCTTGTAAGCGATGTATCCTGTACAACACCCTTCCATTGAGTACAGAGTAAGTGCAATTACTGAAGAATTCAATTTGTTGCAGAAAACCCTTATTTAGGGTGCATGGGCAAGAACAGTTTGAGTATGGTACGCATTGTACCAACGGGATTGATATGTTGGTTACCTCTGGTCGTATGATCATTTTGGACTCCCAGCCGTTGTTGTCAGCCTCAATAATGGATAAACTTATCCTACAGGTAATTAATTTCCCATTTTTAGTTTCACATGATTGCAATAGGAGAATTTAATTATCTATGAAATGAACATACCTAGTTTGTTAGATATTGTCTCATTATATTTCTAGATCAAAAGTCCCAAATACATTTTCGTACAACACTTTATCAAAGACCAAATAATTAGACAAAATGACACTTTTCATATTGTTTACTTTTTGAAGAATGCTCATGACATGGTATATTCATTGGTAATTTCAAGTGTATTTAGAGAATCTTTCACTTTGTCTTCCTCTGGTAATTTTAGTTGTATTTAGAGGAAATTTCATCTCGTCTTACTTCAACACTAATTTGGCCGATGCATTCCCTATTTTCTCATTCTGTTTCTTCATGTGTTCTACCCTTTTTTCTTTTGATTTGTTTTCTGGAATATTGTGTACACTTTCTGGAAAAAGAAATATTCGGAATTCTTGAGTGACTGACAACTGAACTTACTAAATAGGATGATGATGATGGTAAATATATTATGTGTGGTTCAAAATTAATGATTTCTGATTGCAAATAATAACTAATATGCGCTCTCTCACACACTCATGGTTCTTCATGTTCTTACACACACACACTCTCTCTCTTTCTTTCTCTCACTCTCCCACAAACACTCACTCTTCCACTCACTCCTTCCATACTGCTGCGCTCTGTCCCTGTGCCGCGCTCTCTTCCTCGGCCGCGTTCTCTCCCTCGGCCGCGCTCTCTCTCCTCGCACGCCCACACTCGCGATCTCGTACGCACACGCTCTCTCTCTCTCTCTCTTAGACATGCACTGTCTCTCTCTCTTACACACACACACACACACACACACACTCTATTACTGTCTTGGCATCAATTATACAGATTGAATTATCTGGACTAATTTGACCTTTTTATATATATTTTCTGATAACTACTACATATAAAGTTATTACAAAGAAAAAATATATACCTACCATTTTCTATAATTGAATAGGAATGGTTTGCTTCTTGTTTATTTTCTTTTTTGAAATTTAATTTTGTTTTCTTTTACACAATATTCTTAAAGGAAACTAGAGTTACATTGTGTTAAGATTTGTTCCTTTTTGTATTTGAAGAGTTTCATGTATTTTGCAAGTTTGATTTTGAATTAAGTTCTTATTCTGTTATTACAATGGTTTAAACATTTAAATTCTTTAAAATATTGCAGAGAAACTATTTTATTTTATGTTTCTAATTTTCTAGAATATACTATATTTTACGTGCTTTCTGGAATATTTTATTTTCTGGACTAGAGGTGGCATTGATTAGTCTGGATAATGATGCTCTACTGTATATAAACTATTTACCAGTAGCCTTCTAATAATCGACTTAAGTTTCTTTGGGTGCTCTTTGTGGTAGGAAGGGAAAAAATTTGGACCTGGTCCCCCTGGGTCAACAGGTGGTGGGGGAGCTCCTGACTTCTCATCCACGGAGAACACTGTGGAGGTCCAGTCTTTGCAGCAGGCAGCCTTCCTACTGTCCGTGTGCCATATTGTCATTCTTGTACAAGATTGGGCCTTTGATCCCAACATTGTCAGGTAAAGCCTGCCACCAGTACCCTAAAGCCAGAGGGACCACTTTCTGGAATATTTGGAAAAATCTGAGAATTTCATGTTTTGGGAAAAGTTGGTGAAAAATCAGAATTTGTGGAAGAATTGTACGTCAGTGAAAATGTTTAGATGGTTTTATTACTAGATATTATTCCTTAAAAATAGAAGATTTTTAAAACCTTGTTGCTCTATTCTGGTGATACAGAAAGCTGACAATTCAGAATCAGGCTTGCTTTTATACATATTCTATTTTTTAATAATGGGAAGTACTGTACAAATCTCATCAGTGAAAATAAAAATAATGTAGAGGAAAGCTGGGAAAAGTCAGGAAAATTTGTTCCAGGTTATGATTGGACACCCTGAAAGTTATATTTCATCCTAAAGTCATCTTGGACTTCATTGAAGACCGTATGCAAAGCAATGCAGCTTTGATAATGATTTATTTGATTTATTCTTTCTGTACATATTTACGTATAATTTTATAATTTACAATTTGACATGCTTATATTTCGTATGCTTTAAATTACAAATGCATACATCTGAATGATAGGTAAAATTTTGTTTTGAAAATAATCCAGTTCTTTTGGTTAATATTTGTATATTTCAATAGTATTTTTATATATTATATTTCAGATTTTTGCAGACTGCTGAGATGTTGAAACCTTCAACACCAACTACTGCAGATGATGAAATTATAGAATACTTCCCCCATGTGTTATTCCTACATAATCACTGCAATCCATCTGATTTTGGGCCAAGAATTGTAAAAATATTACAGGTACTTTTCACATATTTGCATAGCACAGTCACTCCCTTTACAACCAGGGAAAAGGGAATTTCATTGATCTATGAAAGTCAAGGAGTTTTGGAAAGTATCGTTAAAAGCCACAGAAATGTTTGATACAAATAGAAAACTTGTAAAGAAATTTTAATTGAAATTGGTTTAAGATTAAGCTTTATTTCTTAAGCATATATTATTCATTTTTATTTCCTCACATAAAAAGGAAGGATCTGCCAAAAGATAATGAGAGTTACCAAGTTTTTTATTAATCGTGTCACTTCTCTCACTTCGTGTAATGCCAAATTTCGGGTGTATTTATGTATTCATTTTATACAATTGTGTTAAAATTTCAATTTGGTACAAACCTTTTATACTTATTGGGCGAGAGTCTATTAATAATTTAATAAAAACTTGTCAACTATTTTATCACTGACATAGTAGATCTGAGTCTGAACAGGTTCACTAAGATTTTAAAATAAGCTGTACTCCACAAATTAATCTTTTGTTTATTAAGGCATTGTGATTTATTTGTTTGGTTAAACTATAATTTAATCTACATTTCGTATGAAAATGTAAACTTGGTTATTTTCATCTTTCCCTTATTAAAGCTATCTATCACCAGTGTATAAAACATTTCTGCATTGGACTTAAGTCCATTTATAAATTAATTAATAAACAAATAAATTTATCCAGTGGATAAATCTCATTGAAGGATATGTAAAATTAGTTAATTGGCGCTTGTAAATTAATATTGTTTCTGCCATTGGGCTCAAAGAAAGTTCAAAATTATCTAAAATAGTCAAAGCATTACAGTTTGACAAATAATAAAACTTATCATTTATTTGGATTTAGTGTTGGTTTATTATGATTGCTTCACTATGAAAATGCACATAGATCATACTGAAGTTGTTCCAAATCATTCAAGTTATTTAATGGGGAAAATAATTTAACATCTGCATTGTTTAAGATAAAAGAATGTCACTTCATGCACTTTATCAATTGATATTACAAATAGAATGATGAGAAGAGATATTTCTGTGTACAAAAACAGACAGCATGGACTGGATGAACTAAGATTGTCCAAGTTAGGAGAACAATGTTAGTTGATCCATGTGAAGTTGCAAAATTGATTGCTGATTATTTAAAGGTCTACACGTCTGAACCTGTTGTCCTACTCCTAACATTGGGGAATAGTGGCCCTGAAAAACTTGAAGATCTGGAGTTTTCAGATGATGGAACTACAAGGACCGTGTGCTCCAAGTGAGCCAACATGTCAGTGGCACCTAATGGTATCCTAATTTTACACCTTACCTTTGCGCAATACAATTGGCACCACTGTTGAACAGCGTCTGTAGGAAATCCTTGGATACTGGAAAACTACCTTCTA